TAGTACAGAAAGCTGCTAATTGCTGCATATTTATACTTTGCCGTACGGTTCATACTTTGTCGTACGGTTTATACTTTGCCGCACATCAGGATTCCAAAGAAACAACACAAAACAGCGTGGTTCTATTATGCACGTAATCCGTGTAAATAGGTAAATATCTTGGAAATAGGTTGGCAACACTTAAAGATAATAATACTATGAGCAGCTGATTGACTATTATAACTATGATTTAACCTGTCATTTCGTGTTTATAGTTTCGGTATTTCTGAACTTTCTGGACTTTTCTTTTAAACGTTTTTAAAACATTCCTACGATCTTAATAAAGAAGAAAATACCTTTAAAGAATTTTTTTGGCACGGAAACTACTTCAAATTACAAAAACACACGGAATTATATCCTCAAAACGCGGAGCACATTTCTTGCCGAGGAAAAATAGCGGAGTGATACGGACCGCGGGTACTACTTTCTCTAGGGCACCATTTGTGTTGCCAGCTGAACCTAAAAACGTGTTGTATAGTGTTTGAAAGACTAATTATTTATATGCTTTATAGTGACTGTAGGATAAATATAATGTGTAACACGAGTGCAAAAGGCCTTTGCTGCACTCGAGATCATTCTCTCTAAACATTGCTCTCGTGTGCAGCAAAGTGCCACTTTGCCCACTAGTTACACAAATAACTATTTCAAACCTCTTATTTTCGGCCTTTGCGCAAAATGTATTAAACTACTGTTTTTGTGCTACCTTGCTTAAAATATCCTTATCACATGCATGGGTTTGGATTTAAGTTTACTTTTATAAATTTTATCGTTGGAATTATATCTCTTATACTGATAAAATCCCCTACGAAGGTAAATCCATCTCAGCTTTTCAGGAAAAGCATCACAATTACTTAACAATAACAATACCTCTTCCCGAATTTCCAAACCCACCTAAATGTCAATGAGAAGCTCATCTGTCTTTGTTGAGCCTCTATTAGATATAAGTTAGTTTGGTATCACCACGCTGCAAACGTGTTCTAAATTATACTAGGAAACCCTTGTGGCTAAATGACTAAGAAACATATATTTTGAGCTTGGATTCGAGTAATTGTATGAAGATTCCTGTTTGAAAACTTATTAGAAATTGATTTTAAATATCTCTATTTGCGTCGTGAAGGTTTGTGTACATTCATTTATGCTCTCGGTTTTGAAAGATTACTTATAATAAATGCAAAGTTTTCTCCTTCAATTCGAGTAAACATTTCTGGATAGTGCAACAAATCCTTTTCCGCATGAATAACTCAAGACAATTGTTGCTTTTGATAATCTGTGTGAAACAAATTGGAGATGGGTCACTACTTTATTTCTTTAATCAGTTATCAGTAATCAGTATGGGTTACGGACTGAATTGCCCCATCATTTTAGGAGTACGTAAGCTCACCTTTCACGCGTCTTCAAAACGGGTTGCCTCAAACACCCTGAGGTGAAGAAGGTGAAGAATTACACAAAAACGGGACTGATTACCAGACATGGGCAGTTCAGAAAAGGCATCTGCATTGAATCGGTTTGTAAGATGGTTACAAGGCCACTCTAAAGGAACTGTGGCTGATCAGAATAATCTGCTTATCAAAATGCTTTCGAATGTGAGTAGATCTCTTTTAAGTAAGAAGGACAACTTTTGGCAATCTGGTTAGACGGAGTAGCCTTCCTAAGGAGAAACACTGATCGGTAAAACGTCATTCAACTGCCTGGGCATTGAAGGTAGGCCTACATCAAATGACTGGGGTTTGAAATGATTCGACAAATCCGGCTTTGATGTATCTGCCCGCCCCTTCAAGAGAAGATGGATGAGTTGCCCTAAAATAAGGGCAAAAAAGTGTTGTCGACACTCGCACTCTCTACGTTAATAACATGAAACACATTAAAACAGTTTTTCATATAATATGAAAATCTATTACCTATTTATCATCGATCAATCTATATCCTAATAGTAAGGAAAGAATGTTTCTGTAAAACCTTTTTCTCTCAGCTCGTGTGCATCGCAGCGAAAATCTACGCATATTGTTGGGATGACATTTTACCTGTAGATGTGCAGAATCACTTCATAAATTAAAATAAGCACAACAAATTAATTTCAATTTTCTTTAATGAACGTCATGGACCTTATGGATTGCCATGCTGATGACGAAATAACAACAAAAAACGCCATATAAAAATAAAATCTAAACAAATTGAAGAAATTCCAATCACATGTTTTATTTACAGCGTAGGGTGTAAATAAAGAAGTCTGTACATTACATATTTTTGGTCGAGTTTCCGACCACTGGACTATGTCTAGTATTATTAAATTCATACATTAACCAAATAAAAATATATACACATAGCACTTAAAAATAAAGGTTATAGTGTGTTGCTTTGCCAAAAAAATATTGGTATGAACGAATTCTCTTAGGGCTCTGTATCACAGGCAGATTTCCCATCATATTATTCAAGTGATACAATCAAAGTTCATGGGAATGGTTAAGGCCTTAGAATGAAGCTCAGAGTGTGTAGATTTGTAGAAAATTATTAGTGTGAACGAAAATTATTAGTGATTACGCCTGCCATACAGGCCGATTTCCAATATATATTGTATTATTTAATGATACAATCAAATCTATATATCTAATTCCGTAAGCCCAAAATTTTACAATGAAATTGTGAGCGAACGGGAGGCCGTAGAAAGCTGGGAGAGGTCTCATTTTAAAGGTCTAGGCATGAAATTTTGGGGAAAATTATTTATATTTCTTAATTATGCACCAAAAGGTTGTTATGGAATAAAATAATTCACATTTAAATAACATGGGAATCTAGGTCATGTCTGCTTTGTTTACTTTAAAACATGTGGTTGAACTTTATTTAAAGCATATGGTATGTAATATGTAGGCTACTGTAATATGTATACTAACCCTGAAGAGAGGTTGAAAATACCAATTGACTATATAAATTCAATTGCACCATCTGGAATGCCACCACACAAATTAGTTTTAAAAGTTGGTTCAATAGTGATGCTCATTAGAAATATGAACCTAGGGTCTGGATTAGTTAATGGAGAACGATTGGTTGTGTAAGGTATGTCTGAAAAAAGTGTAAAGTTAGTAGTAATTACTAGAGTTGGCAAAGGGAACATATTTTTCATGCCAAAAATAAAACTAATATCCACAGATCCTACTATGCCGTTTAAGTTTACAAGGAAAATCTTCACAAACATTTTCATTTATTTGAAAAATATATCTCCATATTTTTTTATCTAAGTGAATTTGTCTAGGCCTATAACTAGAAAGTTATATTCACTTAATTAATAGTCATGAAGATTATTATTGAAAATTTTCCTTAGTTGTGTTATGATTAGAAAGTTTATATTATAAACACACCGCATGAAAAGTCCTTTGTAATTTTTATTTTTAACAGAGCAGACATCAAAATGAATTATGCAGGTATGTAATAACTATTATACAAATTATAATATACACATATGTTAAACGATAATCAGATAGGGTAACCCGTGAGACTAATAATTTGTACAAAATAATTACTAGAATATATATTAGGGGCTATTGTCCCTACAAGCCACTAGTTGTATGTAAATGGTTAAGGCCATCAACAAAATAAAGAGTCTTACAAGAGGTTGTCCGCCGACCTGTAACATGTCATCATGAAGAGAGTGGCAAGTCCAGGTACCCACCTCGGCCACCTCAGGACGTAGGTATGTGAATATGAATGTCGCACTGCCTTTAACATTTCTTCTGATGAGCATTTCTCGAGATTTGGCCCTTCAAATGGAATATGTGTTGTTTGTCCAAGAGGTTGTCTTTTGTCGTGGATCTTAAACAGGTCGTCATGAAAGAGAGCGGCAAGTTCAGTACAACCGTACCCATCGCGGCCACCTCAGGACGTAAGGTCATTGACTATATAACATACAGTTATATATTAAATGGTAATGGTTGAATGTTCCAATGCTTTTGCCATTCATTTTGATGAGAATTTCTCGAACTTGGGCACTTTAAACGAAATATAAAGGCAAAATTTATTAAATTAATTTGATGGAGGCTTCTTCTGAATTGTACACCCGTGAATTCACGGGTAGAACCTCTTGTATGTAATATTAGATAGAAGCATATGATAGAAGTATGTAGTAAAATGTAAGTAGTGTGTAATATGTAAGTAAATATTATTTTACAATTTTATAAGATAGCTCCTTGCACTTTGCATAACTTGTGTGAACACACCACAATCCAATTTTACATAGACAGTAGATCAGCATTTCCTAGTTAATTATTGGATATCGCCATTTACTTTTCTTTACTTTTCGATGAAATGGTGACCAGACCATACAAAAGTAGGTATTTTAAGCCAAGTATGAATATAGATGAGTGTATGATGAGTGGCGCGATCTTGTAGTCTTGTTTGTGACTAAGGCCGACATACTCCTTAGACACAGCTGTTGATTAATAGCCCATACAGCTAATGGCAACTAAGGGACCTACAGTTTTATAGTGGAATCCGAACCACATTTTTGAATTGGTATGTCCTAATTATCAGGATAGTACTGCGGATAGTCGTAGTACTCACTCGTACGGACGTTTAATCCACACCAGAGAGTATCACATCCACAGTGCATGCCTATAAATATCCACAATTCCCTCCTAGTAGCTGGATTACATGACGACGCCACCCGTCCCAGTCAAATCATAACTTTATTAAAATCATTGACTTTGATCATGTTTATTTGTACATGATATGGGTAAGGGAGTATGTTTGGTCATAGATTAAAAATGATTAAACATACTCTCATTTAATCTATGAACTTTATTACTTAACTAAAAATTACATGTAACCACGGCCACGTCTGTAAAGCTACTTGACATGCATCTTTGACTTTATGACATCAGCTGTTCTCAAAGAAATTTTTTCTTTCTGTGTCGTGTTGTGTAGAGATTTGATTGACTGGAGGGAGAGGTTCATCAGAGGTTATGTTATGTTTTTTTTTTTTACCTATACAAGAAATGTAGATCCCTAAGTGAAAATAGTAAATTTTTGCATTGTGTAGTTACACCGTGTTAATAACATTGAATTTGTATTCCTGCATTTACTTCATAATATTAAACATACAGAAAAAGTTATGGTATCAGTCTAACTTATTTGTTTTTACATAGTTTATTACCTTGTTTAAAAACATAACCTCTAAAGTTAAAATGTTTACAGTTAAAAATATAGTGTTCAGTCATACGTTTTCGAAGCCTATCAAACTTTGTTCTGCGCTGTCCAAAAATGTTGTAAGTATGCTACGTAATTCTAACTATTTTCAGAAAAAACTTTGTTAGGCTGTAGGCCTAGGACTTGACTCCTGCATAGCCTAGTAGTAGACTCCCTCTTAAGCCGCGTTTACACCGAAGTTGACAACCAAAAGTTGTCAACCAAAAGTTTACAACCAAAAGTTGACAACTAAAAGTTTACAACTAAATGTTGCTCCTCACTAATTTAGAGCAACTAGTGGAAAACTTGTTGCCAAAGAATAGGCGCGTAATAATAAGTACAGTGTGTCAAGGATGTCGGCCATTTCAAGATCAAATTTTCCGTATTTTGGAAAAATCACCATTAAAAATCAAAATTTCAAAAAAATTCAAAAATACCTGGAGATGTTATGGAAAAGTACCTACATACAAATTTTAATCCAAATCAGACCACGGGCGTGGTGTGTAGCTCTGTACACATCCAGAGTTATTAGGCATAATTAAGATATTTAAATCGAAAGATAGCTAATATTTACCCTATTATAATAATTAAAATAATTCAATAATACACATTTACAATATGTGTACAATATGGGAGAGGAATAGTTCTCCACTAGTTTTCAACAAGTTGCTTGCGCAAAGCGCGTAGCAACTAGTCTTCAACTTTTTGTTGTCAACTTTCTTTGATCTTACCGACTCTCCGCGGGAAACCAAAATTTAGTGGAAAACTTGTTGCTCCACTAGTTGACGACAGAAAAAGTTGCTGCATTTTGTAGAAAAAGCAACAAGTTTCCGAAACTAGTCGAAAACCTGGTTGTCAACTTTGGTGTAAACGCGGCTTTATCCGGACTCCTCGGGACCGAGGCCAGTCCGGATAACGGTTTTTCCGGTTGAACCGACCTCCCCAAAATCTCATTAAAACGGACCGTTTAAATGCATACTCTATACAGTATTTGACTTAACCCTCCGAGTGTCATGCGTCGCTGCAGCGACGCGTAACGCACTTTGTATAGTGTCGTGCGTCGCTGCAGCGACTCGCGAACACTGTTTACGGCGAAGGCTCTATGACTAACTGAATCGGACTGTACTGGATTGAGTTAGGTATCGTTCTGTCCGTAATATTCTAAGCTTTCTCCAGAGGTCTGTCTCTAAGCACTATTCATTTTAGTTCCGAAAATATTGTAGCAGACAGCTGACTGAGCTGACGTGCGTGTATTTGTAAACAGCTAGGTTACCCTCGGACCGATGACTGATGTGTTTTATTACGTTTATCATTGTTTTAGTGTTAAAAATCAAAAGTAGTGATATACGTGGTGCATTATAAGAAGATTTAAGTGGTTTTGAAGTGCTGGTTGATGATCCTGAAGAAGTAGGTAGTGATATTGATGTAAATTATCAGCCAGATTCCTAGCTATGGTTGGGCTATGCATTCTTAGCTAAACGCTATGTACTGAAATCTGTTTTTTGCCCATAACTTTTTTATTTGCAAATCTACTTCCTTATATTATTATAGATTTGTAATCCTCATAAAATTTAGAACAAAGTGGCTATTTTCAAATATTTATAGGCCTATAATTTATACAATTTCATTGAGCGCAAACTTATTTTTTTTGAAAATTTTCGAAATTATACATTTTTTTACCTAAAAAATTTTTTTTTTTTTAATCTTCCTTATGTTTTATATATAATATTGAAGCCCAAGATTTTCCAAACAAAATGGTATATAGAACAGTATAATTAACATTGTTTTTAAGCTTCTCAGATCAGTTTTAATAAAACCTTGCAAATGAGCAAAAAATAGGCTGACATTAAGGCCAAAACACGTGACACTCGGAGGGTTAAAATTAGGAGAGCATTGTATTTAGACACGTAATCACTGGTCGCAAATCTTTCCCACGAGAACAGTCATTTCAGCACCACCCAATTCCTGCCGATCTAGTCTGGTTAAACCGATGTGCTGATAAAAATTATCCGGATAAAGAGATATCACTTCTACCGAGTGTGGTCCGGTTAAACCAATGTCCGGTTAAAAGGTGTCCGGATAAGAGGGAGTCTACTGTACTGAACCAAAACTATTGGTTTCAATTGTATCAATCTTTTGCATACTCTTCTTACAATAATTCTCTCACAGGTCTATGATATAACATTTAGTTTATCATGCATTTTCACCAATAGTTCTACCATATAAAAGTTTACATTTACAGAGTAGAACATTTAAACACGGTAGGCTACTCTACCGTCATGTTGAAAAAAATCCTTCACCGGCATCAACTAAGGTTTGAACTCACTGTACCAACGTCAACTTTTGTTTACGCCAACATCCATACACTTTTACCACTGATTATACACAGAATAGACTTCTTATGTAGGCTAATGTAAAAATTTGTGGCCAAGAAAATTGATGAAATTTAGGACCATCTCACCAGAGGATACTAGTGTATTTGGTTAAATATTAATTAAGATTTTTCAGTGTGGCATATTGCATGTATATAAATAAATATTATGCCGATGTACTTAGGCCTACTGTCATTGCAATCCTTGTTTTTGAAACGGCAGTAGTGTCATGAACAATAAGGATTGCGAAGACAGTAAGTACATTATGACTTATTTATTTATATTAGGCCTAATTAAAATCAATTCCACAATTTATGAGGTTAATAGGCCTATGTATATTTACCCAGTATCACAGCAAACAGCTGATTGATTTATAACTTGATACAGAATATTTGATGGGTAGCCTCTGGACCATACAGCAACAATAATAATGGTTTAATTTACCTCTGTCAATATGGTCCTTGCGTAGTTTGTCACTACTGCAGTTTCGTGCTTGTGGAGCACATCTTCAGGTGAAGGTCGTCAATTTAACACACCAAAAAAAACACATAACACACGAACGGTACGAAAAAACATTTATGAACTTGGCCAATACATTAAAGACGTTACACACGGGGCCCGGCGTCGGTAGAAGTCATGACTTGCATATTCAACCTTAGACTTGACTAATTTTCAATTATTTAAAAAAAAATTATTATTTTTACCGATGTGATAATGACATGACTAGGAGTTTTAGAGCTTAGATTTAACATTGAGCTGTTATCCTAACCTATATAATAATACAGTAACTTAGTAATCATTTTTATTATCCTTATTTCATTTTATTTTAATTTAATTTTAAACAGAAAATACATAAACTTGATTCCATTTTTTCAGGTATTGCAAGAACATCTGGTTACCTCCATTCGTAAGCTTAGTATTACAAAGTGTTTGAGGGAACAAAACGATGATCAACTTGTGGAACATGGCATCAAAGAAGAGAAGTCCAGTAAAGCGATGCGAGCGTACCTGGAGAGATCACAAGCCTACAGTATGTAGCGTCATTTTTACACTTAGTAGGCCTAAATTTCAAGGCATTTACATCTTTATTGGTAACTAACAACTAAGTGATAGGCCTAATGCTGTCTTTCTTATTTGAAAATGTGTATATAATAGCCTATATTACTCTACCATAGCATTTTCATTTGTTATTTAATTATTATGATGAAATTAAATTTGTTTCCTCAGATAAGTTCATGGAACAAGAAGAGGTTGAGTTTAAGACAGGAAAGCGACACCTGGCCAACATGATGGGAAAAGATCCCGAGACATTTACTCAGAAAGATGTTGACGTAAGTACCTAGCCTACCTAGAAACTGTTTTATGTTCATCTGTAAGTATAGCCTTGCTGTACTGGGGTAGAGTTTGACTAAAGGTTAGAACGCAGGACTTCTGTTAATATGGTGTGTTGCTAGCCTAGTAGGTCTAGTTACAATCTTGAACTTATTTGTGAGAGAGACAAGTTCGATCCTGACCTATCCACAAGATTTTGAAAGGTATGGACTGCTTTCATGTAAAAGCGTTGTGATTCCTCTATAAAAATTCCACAAGAGTAGACAGTGACAAATTACCTTACAATCACCAAATGTAATTTGCCACATTATAAAAAATCAAAGACAACGTTAATAAGCTAAAGGTTCTTATATAATAGGGTAACTACAGGTCTTGGGTCTCCCAAATAGTCCTCAATATTTCATTATCTTATAGCCTAAATGTTTTACTTTTTCATCTAAAAAGTGGTAAATTGGAACTTCTTTAAAAATGTATTATAAAACAACGAAACTCAAAACAAATGAACGAATTTCATCAACAAAAATGACATTCTACAACCTAAAAAGAAAGCAATAATGAAAATCAACCAAACTGCCTTACCGACATGCCCAATGTAGAGTAGTTCGGGCCGATGACGCTTCCCTGCAACAGTGCTGTTCAGGTAACGATAACCGCCATTGAGTGGCTACTCTAGTACGTGTATACTCAATGGCATTAGTAAATACCACCAAATTTGCTGTGGTAGCATAATTTACTCTCAATTCAAACTTAAGAATTTGCATGGTAAGATCTCTTGAAACAATAGGTGTTGTTGATCTTGTCTTTACAGGTATTGATTTTTAAGCCAAGGAAACTCTCTCCCCCCCCCCCTCTCTCTAGAAGAAATCCTTCCATAAGATGCAATAAATTAAAGGTCCTACTGGATAATACCTTATCTAAACGTGTTTGGAACTCAACGGCTAAAAAATAAATCAATTTACAATAGATAACTTAAATCAAAGGTTCTAATGTAAAAGAATAATTAACAATGCTATATTATATTAATGTTTTCTACTTTTTCCAGGAAGCAATTGCCTATCTTTTCCCCTCTGCGTTATTTGTAAAGAAAACTAGACCTTTGATGAAACCACCAGCTGAAGTTCATCCTCCTAAGAAAGAAGCGGAGTTTGACGAAACAGGACGGCCTCACCATTACCTGTTCTATACTGGGAAACCTAACTTGTACGAATACCTTCATGTAAGTTTATTTTGCATGATATTACGCCATTGTAACTTGTTATAAATAAATTTACCTTTTAATGCCATTTGTTGGTGAAGGATTATTATGTATATTTTTCATCGCTTTCAATAGTACACAAGTTTAAACGCTTTGGGATTTGAAATAAAATTAGGGTTACAAGCTAGGCAACACAGGGAAATGCTAATCTTTAAACAACAGTCTTGATCCTAGCTTAGGTTCTTGACTTAACGGTTGTGATCGAACATTGACTGGACTGTGTTTATTGATTTCTTTTAACTTCTTCCTCTACAGTAGGCTATTTGTCTTATTTATTTGACTGTTTTAGTTATTGTTTTCGGACATTGCCAAATTTGTTCACTAACCTTGTCCACGTTCTGTGTTCTTTCCCAACTTGATACCTGAGGATCTGATCCCATATGTTGAGACATTATAACATAAGTATTTTACCAAACAGTCGGCCTATAAGAGGATTTACTTAATATTTCATAAACGTAGTTGGTTTGTACTTTTGTGTTTGATGAGAAGCTGAAAAAAGGATCTATTTTCAAAGGATTTACATCCATAATTTTAGGCGCATAGTCCTTTACAAATCACAGGTAAAAATTCTAGGTTGTACATAAAATCTGATTTGTTTGTTTTAGAAACTGGTTGATGTCATGATAGAACTGAACTCGTTTGAAGATACAATGATAAGGAAACAACTCAAACCTGATCCTGCCCTTACTTTGTGAGTATTTTTCTTTCAAATTTTATTGGTGACTATTTCGGTGTTGTAATTCTATAAAACTGTCTCTGAAGAATCTGTCTCTTTGGATTGCAAAGAGTTTTAAATGTTTGTTGGGAAATCTTGCCTAAACTGCTTAAAAAAATTAATAATATGATCTTTACAATTTTTTATATAATTATTAATAACTAGAGGTCATCCAGTGTTCGAAAACTCGACAAAAACATGTAATGTACACGTATTGACTATTGGATACTGAAGTAGACCATGGTGGAAGGAAAAAACATAGGTGTGCTATTCCCACATATTCTGACGTCACTCGGATTGCAAACAAAAGATCACCTGATTGTAACTGTCAAATTAGTATGTATTTGTTATGATTTGAAACAAAACAATAACAACCAAATCAAAACAAATACATATACTAATTTTACAGTTACAATCAGGTGATCTTTTGTTTGCAATCCGAGTGACGTCAGAATATGTGGGAATAGCACACCTATGTTTTTTCCTTCCACCATGGAAGTAGACATCCCATCTATATGGACCAGCTGTTGCCTTTTTTATATTTAAAAACATGTAGTTGTGTGAGCCATTCAGTGAATGCGTGTCTTAAATTCTATTTTCTACCTTTTTTTTTTTGTTGCTGACAAAGTTGATGGGTCATAACAGTTGCTATAACTCATCCTAAGTCATTTCATAAGTTTGACTTGGTAAAAAACATCTTGTATTCGACAGAAATTAGTAGCCTAATTTAGATCAGCGCAATCTGTTGGTGGCTCACATCAACTACGACGAATTTAATTTTTAAAAACTGGTGATAATGGGGATGGAATTTAAAGGTACAGGCTTCTCTATTTTCACCCCACGCTGTAAATAGAACATGTGATTGTAATTTCTTCCATTTGTTTTGATTTTCTGTTTATATTTCGTTGTTATTTCGTCACCAGCATGGCAACCCATTTAAAGCCCATTTTAATTTTTTTAAATTTCAAATCCATTTTTTGTGCTTATATTTGAGCCTATTTTAATTTTTAAAGGGATTCTGCACTCCTACAGAAAAATATCTTTCTAACAGTATGCGTAGATTTCCCCTGCGATGCACACGAGCTGAGAAAAAAGGTTTTAAAGAAACATGCTTGCCTATTAACATATAAAATGTTTAGTTTATAATAAACATTATGAATAATTATTAATATAACAATTATTTTAAATTTTAATTACATTGAAAACTGGTCTACTTTTTGATACGGTATTGAATTTATAGTATTTGTGCTCTATAATAGTTTTTATCAATGTATTGCTCTGACAAACGTGTACAAGTAATGAGACGTTTAAAGACATTTTTTTACAGATCTCAAGATGGTTACCAATGGCTTTCTAAGGAGGAATTTGAACAGAAATTTCTTGAGAAAATTACTGGTGATGAGGTAACTATAATAAAATATATGGGCTAAAGTTGTCTATAATGGGTCTAAAATTTACCACATCAGAGTACCGCTAATCCAACTTAATATCCCCAGAGGCCAAAAACAAACAAATTCATTTGTATTATGCGGGTCCGTTAGCAAGATAACTGGAGTAAAAATCATCTACATATTCAAACCTAATCACTCATATTATTACTGGTAATTAAATATAAAATATTTCTGAAAATTTTAAAGCAATTTCAGTGAAAATCCCACCAAGTAGAAGGTACCAAATTTTAAGGCGGGTAAAAACGTACTGCTATTAAATGAACTACAAAACTTACCAGTTTTTATCCACAATAGCCTACACTTAGGCCTATGTGCTGGCCATAGTTTAGACTATGGGCCAAAGAACGTAGGCCTATTTTAAATCACAGTGAAACTCATACACACACTCACAGGACATATTCATCAGTAATAGCATGCCAATTTATCAAATAAAGTTAAACCGACCAATTTTAAACGATATTTAATGCCGACGACGACACAACACAACCCCAAACTGGTGTTTGTTGACAGACGACAGACAAAAACTAGACCGGCTCAACAAGTGAATTTTCGATCAGCTGATGTCTATAGTTTATAATACTTAAGCTCGCCGCTCGAGCGCGTAAGCCTCAAACGGACTCGAATCAGAATATTTTACTTCAAGACAAGGTTATTCGCTCACTTGCCGTCTACAATGTAACATCATTGTTGATACCTTTGCTTCGCTTACACGTTAAAACGGTCGGAGTTTTAACCAAAGTTTGACTTGGTTAAAAAGAATGTGTATTCGGCAGAACTTAGTAATTAGATCAGCGCAATCTGTAGGTGGCTCACATCAACTACGACAATTTTGATCAAAAAGCTGGCTACAAATTTAACATGGGGATGGAATGTCTATAACCAAACCACTTAGCTACCCAACTATACAATCAATCAATCAATCAAATATTCTTTATTCACAAAGTTTAGACAATATGTCTTGAATAGGGTGTATTAAACTAACATAAACAAAAAATTATAAACTAAATAATTAAAATCATTCACAAAGGATTTATACAGGGTGTCTCAGACCACCCGGCCGGCTTGTGTAGCTCCAATATGAAAGCAAATGGAAACCTAATTGCAACTGGAACCCCCTATTTTGACCCCAAGGAATTCAGCTAAATTATTTTCAACCCCAAAAAAGCACCCCAAAGGGCAGATTTTGGGGGGTGGGGGTGGTTTTTGGGAAATTTTCAAATGTAAAGGGGGGTTGTGTTATACCTCATTTTAAAGGTCCTTTAGTCCTGAGTATTTTAGTGGAAAAAGATTTAAATTATCTTCATCCCTATTTACAGGGTGTTCAAAAACTTACAAAAAATAGACCTTTGTACTACTTTTCACTGTAAAGAGGTGGAATTTTGTGGAGGGTTCAAATTTTGATAACACTTTAATTAATAAATGAGCTTTCAAAAAACTCTGGTTTTAACCCTTTTGCTATCTTTTTACTTATGTTACGCATTTTCAAACTTTTTGAAGTTTCAAAAGCTGTTATCTCAAAAATGTCAAATGGCAACAAGGGTTTCATTACAAACCACATTGTAGCCCTTGAAATTTGCTATAATTTTTGTATTTAATGTTTTTTGGTATCTTCATTGGTTAAAGAGATATAACGAAATTAGTGTATTTTAATGTTTTATTAAATGGTATTCAAAGTGTTTACTGTTGCAAATGTACACCTTTAGGTCTCAATTAAAACAAATCTTGTCTAAAAAAATAGAATAGTACTCAGATTGTTGATCTTGGAAGATTGATAAAGGAAAGAACACAACTGCAAATATTCTTAGTTATTTTACAATTCCATGGCTCTAATATTTCTTTGAATAAATAATTTGTTTGAATCAGCATTAATAGCCTACATACCGATGGACTTCTACAAATGCTTAAATTGCCTTCCATTTTGTTCCATGCAAACCCCAACTCTGTTATGCACGTAGTACTTCTTCTCCACTATTATGGTACTGTATTGCTATTTTACTACCGCAGGTGCATTCACCTCTCGTACAGATCCAGTAAGTTCCTTATAGGCCTAATTTTTTTTTATCTGATCAAACGTGACCAGTTTCACGCACACGCTCATTGATTTCATGATGATTTTTTTTATTTGCCAGTAGCGTTTTATAGACAGTATTCATTCAAAGCACTATTAGAACTTTGTAATTGTAAAATAACTAAGAATATTTGCAGTTGTGTTTTTTCCTTTATTAATCCTCCAAGTTTAACAATCTGGGTAGTATTTTAATTTTTTAACATAATTAGTTTTAATTGAGACCTAGACGTGAACATTTACAACAGCAAACACTTTGAATACCATTTAATAAAACATTAAAATACACTAATTTCGCTATATCTCTTCAACCAATGAAGATACCAAAAAACATTAAATACAAAAATTATAGCAAATTTCAAGGGCTACAATGTGGTTTGTAATGGAACCCTTGTTGCCATTTGAAATTTTTGAGATAACAGCTTTTGAAACTTCAAAAAGTTTGAAAATGCGTAACATAAGTAAAAAGATAGCAAAAGGGTTAAAACCAGAGTTTTTTGAAAGCTCATTTATTAATTAAAGTGTTATCAAAATTTGAACCCTCCACAAAATTCCACCTCTTTACAGTGAAAAGTAGTTCAAAGGTCTATTTTTTGTAAGTTTTTGAACACCCTGTAAATAGGGATGAAGATAATTTAAATCTTTTTCCACTAAAATACTCAGGACTAAAGGACCTTTAAAATGAGGTATAACACGACCCCCCTTTACATTTGAAAATTTCCCAAAAACCACCCCCACCCCCCAAAATCTGCCCTTTGGGGTGCTTTTTCAGGGTTGAAAATAATTTAGCTAAATTCCTTGGGGTCAAAATAGGGGGTTCCAGTTGCAATTAGGTTTCCATTTGCTTTCGTATTGGAGCTATACAAGCCGGCCGGGTGGTCTGAGACACCCTGTATAGTAAAACTAAAAATGAGTGCTATAACTTTAAAAAATCACAAAATCTTAGAAGGTTACGTTAGAGTAAAACTAGGTAGTAACTGGAATTCAAATGGTCGTTTCGAGATACAATACAAAAAAAAATACAACAGTATTTTTCTACAGACTAAAGCATTTTGCCAGCTCATAACTTTATCCTCACTATCTTGAACCTGAGAATATTGACCACTTGTGTCAAATATTGTATTACTTTATCACAGGTAGAATCCATTTTTGTTTCAGCATCGACAGTTAATCTCCACCTTGGACCGATTGCTAGCTCACCCTTACTCCTACAGAGTAGAGAAAGTATTTCTTGATGCCAGAAAAACCTTCACTAGTATCAGTGCGGACGCGGTGATACCAAAGGTGAGCTTTTAACACTAACGTTTTCTAGAAATTAAGGTATTCAGTTTTATGACGTTTGAAAATAAACGTACCATAGAACTTCTCTGAACCAAAATATCGACAACAAAATTATCTTAGATAATGCCAGAAAATAAGGAAATTATAGACAAAGGGCGAGAAAGTGAGCTCACCAAAACAAAGTATGTTGCATATGGTTGAGGGAAGGCTGTTGACTGCTACACAACTCCAACTGTACTTGCAGTTTTGGTTAATTTTCTTTACTTAAATACACTTGCCAAGAATGATGCATTCCATTATACCAAAGTTGATGCCAATGTATAGAACTTAGGCCTATTCAACCGAAGCACTCTTGTTGTGTTGCTCATAGGAAGAGCACAGGGGGAAAAGGGGCTCATTGCATTTTATCCGAAATTTGGATTGTTATGTTTTTTTTTGCACCAACAGCTGTAGTGTAGCAATATCTTACTGGCAATATGTTGATTATTATCAATTATCAATTATTTAAGATGGGGACGCCTCTATGTGCGTATTTTAACCCAAAATGAATGTAGGATGAGTGGCGCGATCTTGTAGTCTTGTTAGTGACTAAGGTCGATTACAACAGACATAGAGTAAATGCATTAGAAAAGAACGTTGGCCACAGGAAAAAGGGCTCATTTCAACAGTTACTGGTGACAAAATCTCAGATCACTGTTGTTTGGCCAAAAAACCATCCTCCTGTAAAATTTGCAAAATGTTGATCAGCCCCTTTTTCCCCTGTGCCCTTCCCAATTTTCATCTTCCTGAGAATAACTAACTATTATTGTCTTATTACAGCCTGAACTTCAACCTGACGGGCGGGAGTTTGTGAAATTTGAAGGTAAGTTTCACTTTTTAAAATGTGATTTTTTTATTTTGAGTGTGCAAAATATAAGTAATATAATATAAATACCTCGTCACAGCTCTGTAGTTTCTGTAGATTACAGCTGTTTCGGCATTAAAATGCCATCATCAGATACACATACATCCACCTGAATTGGCGTCGTTAAACTGTACACATACACGAACACGATTAAAACACAAAAACACGTAAAACAAGAGACAGGCCTGTCGCGTACATGATTGCTACGAGTACGGAAGCTGACACAAAATATAAGAGTCTATTTTCAAATTTGTTCTTTTAATTAATACCCAACATGGCTAGTTTTTACATACACACTAACAGTTTATTGGGATCTTTCCAAACAGAAAGCATCAATTATTTACAGTATGCTTCTGCTGCTGTTAACTAACCGTTTAGTTTACTTTTGCTTTGTTAAGTTTTCAATAATGAACTTTTCATTTTTACCCTATTTTTTCTTGTGTTTAAAAAAGTTAACTTTGTAAATTTTACCTTATTTGTCATTATCATAAATTAAACTAAACTAACAAAACCACTGCAAGTGCAATTCCCTTTAAAAGAGTAGCAGCCCTCTTGAAAAAAGAGGGGGGAATTTTAATAAATATTTGACAAGGTACCGATAGTCATTGTAATTGCAAAAAGGACCTCAATGTCCTCAATAATCATTACTGGAGGGTAGGAATTAAGTAGCTTTAGTGTCCAGTGTCTATAAATCGTTTACAATTTGGACAATTTTTCTCATATAGTGAGTGTCTTGAAAAATTTCTATGAAGACTAACTTCCACTACCTTATACAATCATTGTTAAACCCTAACAGCTTGCCTTTTCTTGTCAAGAGTTACACAATTATAAGCTTATTGATAGGGAAAAGAAGAGATGGAAATGTAACTGAGTAAATTTTACCTAATGTTGTGAAAAATGCTGGTTAAATATTTTGTTTATCCTTTTTATAGTCATATCTGGTAAAATGAACGTAGTCTAATTAATTAAGACTAAGAGTGAAGTGGAATAACTTGAGTTACCTTTTTCATTTTTGTGTGTAGGATCGAAACGCAAGACTGCATTTGCCGACGCAACAGTACGTTTCCCTGGTACTGGCAAAATTGACATTAACGGGTTCGATCTCTCCTACTTTCAAGACCTCCACACCAGAGAACAGGTAGGAACATCACAGTTTGTGGGAACATAGTGTACATGCCCCCCCCCCTAAATATGCTCTTTAAGGAATAACAGCTGACACCACAAAGTGATATAGATATCCGCATTGTTTGTAATCCAATACTGTTTTATGGGCAACTATTTTTGGTTGGGAGCGAGCTGGTCAAGTGGTATAGCGATGGACTTAGGTCCCTGAGGCTTCAAATCCCGCCAGTCACCAATATACAGTATCTATATGATAATAAATAAATAAAAATCCCTTTATTTATCAAGCGTTTCTCAGTACAATTGCTTTTCAGAACAACTTTCGTCAATAACTAAAATAACAAACAAATAAATAGAACAATAACAAACCAGAAACAAGACAGTATAAATAACAATAACAATAATAAGCCATCAGCGTCCAATCCTTATTCAGGGTGGCTAGTGACCTGGAAAACCTGGAAATGTCAGGGAATATTAAATATCTGGAAAAGTCAGGGAATTTTGTCATAAGTCAGGGCAAATTGTAAAATATTTAAAATAATTTTAATAGTTGTTAGGAAAGGTCGATCTGGTGAGAGTACGTATGCCGTGTGGGTGAAAACTAAGAAATATGTCTGTACGAATAAATTTTGTATTTTTGTACAAATTAAATTTTGTTATAAACTGCATATCATCTTATCAAACTCAGTTTAATTTTATTAAGGCAAGTTGCAAAGTTTGAATATAAGCTAGCCTTTATCTATAGATTTTATGTATTTTTTTTAAACATAAGATATTCTTCAGATAAAGATTAGTCCTTTTGAAGAATTGGTCAGGTAGTCCAGGACCTGACTAGGGTTCTGTGTGCATGTCGTGTATAGAGAATTTTGCTTTTGCATTTCAATATAGGTGTCTTAGGAAGTGTTTTCCACTCGGGTGTCAAGTTCGCACCTGGTACGTTTTCGAGCTATGACGTCATCAAAATGGCGGCCATTGATTTTTTTAAATTGTATATTTCGCAAACTATTTGTCGGATCGGAATAAACTTTTTTTTGTTTGAAAGATAATTTTAAATACTACCTGTTTTACATTTACATATTTGTTGTATGTTTAGTACATTCTTCGTAATTATGCAAAAACCTGTATTTTTAAATATTTTTGTGTTATTTTTGTTTGTAACGTTTTATTGATACAATTTATCAAAAACCACCAATGAAAAAAGGTGTAGAACGTTTAAAAATCTTTAAAAAAATACCAAATTCGATATGTTTTACTCAAAAGATTACGTCAAGAAACTAGATAAATCTCATAAAAACACCAATTTTGGCGCAAAAACGCCTATTAGTCCGGCATCTAGGGCAGTTCGCAAGTCTTATAAAGACAGTTTTACCATTCAATGTTGATGTATGTGTCTAAATAAGTGTTTTCAACTCGGGTGTCACGTCTGCACCCACTGCAGTTTCCGGTTATGTTGTCATTAAAATGGCGGAAAGGGCTATATTAAAAATAACTATATTTTACATACCATGTATCGGATCGGAATGAACTTTTTTTTGTTTAAAATATAAGTTTACATGCTATCTTTCTTACATTTACACTTTTGTTGTATGTTTAGTACATTTTTCGTAATTTTGCAAAAACCTATATTTTTAAACATTTTTGTGTTATTTTTTCGATAACGTTTTATTGATACAATATATCAGAAATAACTTAAAGACAAAGTTGTAGCACGTTAAAAGAGCTTTACAAAAATACCAAATTCGATATGCTTTACTCAAAGGATCACGTCAAGAAACTAGGAAATCGTACAAAACAACCTAATTTGGCGCAAAAACGCATATAAATCTGACATCGATGGCTGTGTACGAGTCATATATAGACAGTTTTACCATTCAATGTTGATGTATGTGTCTAAAGATGTGTTTTTAATTTGGGTGTCACGTCTGGACCCACTGCAGTTTCCGGTTATGATGTCTTTAAAATTGCTACATGTTACGATTTCACCAACTATTTTACTTAAAATAAGACCATTACCCTCTTTTATGCAAATAAAAACACAACAAATCAATTAATTAGTCCATTAATTAGTAATTAGTTCATAGGAATTTTTCCATTATATAAATACCCCCGGTGCAGCAATCCTGTCGACTAAGCGAATTTCCATTTGCCTGGATTGATTTTGAATTAATCTATTAAATTAACATTGTTTAAGAGTACCTAGGTTTTTTGAACGGTAAAAGTGTTTTTGAACGGTTATTGGTTACTGAGAAAATAAAAACATTTTTCATTTAAAATTCCAATGTTGTTCTTATGGACAATATTGTAACTGTAGTAGTTGGCTTGTTTATGGATATATTTTGATCAAACTTGGTAGATTTATTTATCCAATACTAAGCTATTAATATTTTAATAAAAAATCCACTTTATTAGTTTCCCTTAAGCAGCAAACCTAGGTATTCTTAAACAATGTTAATTCAATAGATTAATTGAAAATCAATCCAGGCAAATGGAAATTCGCTTAGTCGACAGGATTGCTGCACCGGGGGTATTTATGTAGTGGAAACATTCCTATGGACTAATTACATTGATTTGTTGTGTTTTCATTTGCATAAAAGAGGGTAATGGTCTTATTTTAAGTAAAATAGTTGGTGAAATCGTAACATGTAGCAATTTTAAAGACATCATAACCGGAAACTGCAGTGGGTCCAGACGTGACACCCGAGTTAAAAACACTTCTTTAGACACATACATCAACATTGAATGGTAAAACTGTCTATATATGACTCGTACACAGCCATCGATGTCGGATTTATATGCGTTTTTGCACCAAATTAGGTTGTTTTGTACGATTTTCTAGTTTCTTGACGTGATCCTTTGAGTAAAGCATATCGAATTTGGTATTTTTGTAAAGCTCTTTTAACGTGCTACAACTTTGTCTTTAAGTTATTTCTGATATATTGTATCAATAAAACGTTATTGACAAAAATAACACAAAAATGTTTAAAAATATAGGTTTTTGCAAAATTACAAAAAATGTACTAAACATACAACAAAAGTGTATATGTAAGAAAGATAGCAAGTAAACTTATCTTTCAAACAAAAAAAGTTCATTCCGATCCGATACATGGTATGTATAATATAGTTATTTTTAATATAGCCCTTTCCGCCATTTTAATGACGTCATAACCGGAAACTGCCGTGGGTGCAGACGTGACACCCGAGTTGAAAACACTTATTTAGACACATACATCAACATTGAATGGTAAAACTGTCTTTATAAGACTTGCGAACTGCCCTAGATGCCGGACTAATAGGCGTTTTTGCACCAAAATTGGTGTTTTTATGAGATTTATCTAGTTTCTTGACGTAATCTATTGAGTAAAACATATCGAATTTGGTATTTTTTTAAAGATTTTTAAACGTTCTACAACTTTTTTCATTGGTGGTTTTTGATAAATTGTATCAATAAAACGTTACAAACAAAAATAACACAAAAATATTTAAAAATACAGGTTTTGCATAATTACGAAGAATGTACTAAACATACAACAAATGTGTAAATGTAAAACAGGTACCGTAGTATTTAAAATTATCTTTCAAACAAAAAAAAGTTTATTCCGATCCGACAAATAGTTTGCGAAATATACAATTTAAAAAAATCAATGGCCGCCATTTTGATGACGTCATAGCTCGAAAACGTACCAGGTGCGAACTTGACACCCGAGTGGAAAACACTTCCTAAGACACCTATATTGAAATGCAAAAGCAAAATTCTCTATACACGACATGCACACAGAACCCTAGTCAGGTCCTGGACTAAGGATTAAAATTGTAATTTTGAATTTGTCGATCAGGGAAAGTTTAAAAAAATCCTGGAATTGTCAGGGAAAAGTCAGGGAATTTTTCAATGTGATTTCACTAGCCACCCTGTTATTTCTAAGTGTAAAAAGGCATATTTTTGAGGCCAGAAGAGATATCGTTGAACAGCTTTGGGCCAAATTACGAGAAGTTTCGCCTACCAAACTCAAGCCTCACTCTTGGAAAGTGAAGCTGGTGATTTCCATGGCGGGTACTGCGCTGAGAGACCTCCTCCCGGAAAAAGAGCCTCTAAAGAAAGCCTCTCAAGAGCCTCGCTCTGTGGCTCCTGTAGGACAAGAGCTTTGTAGACCATGCAGCACGTCATGATCCTGCAAACAGTGTCTAATGTTGTCATCCTAGCTACGGCTCTAAATGGAGAGATATGTTTAATTTTTTTGTGGCAAAAAAAAGTGAAAAGCAGAATTTTGTAGTTTCTGCATTCGGTTCATGTCTTCTCCAGAGATGCTGTTTCCATCAGCAGGTAGACAATATGTAAACACCGACAGGAGTGCATGAGGCGCAGATTCTGGCAGCAGACTTCTGAACCTGTACAGCTCTCTCAGCCTTCCTAATGTGCGCTGCGAAGCATATGTAACATGGCCGGAGAAGATGAGGCTGCTATCAAGCACAACGCCAAGAGTCTTTGACTTGTCACACAAAGTCACAGATTCTCCGTTAAGCACAACACTCACTCCTCTCTTGCTGAGGGACTGCACAAAGTCACGTGGCGCCATATGCATAACAGTACGCTTGTCAGTTTTGAGTTTCAACCCATTTTCTTCTGACCACAAAAGGATGTTTTGTAGGTCAGAGTTATTGAAATCGAGTGAAGCTCTCATCAGGGATGGCTCATAGGACAAGTGCAGCTGTGAGTCATCAGCATACAAATAAACTGTACAACGCTGCACACAGCTAGGATGGTCTTTCGTGTACAAATTGAACAGAACAGGCCCAAGACAGCTGCCTTGGGGAATTCCTTGGGTTTTGTCAAGCGGGGTTGATGTTTCACTCTCTAACTGCGTCACTTGTAGCCTGGAGTCTAAGTATGACCTTATCCATTTCAAAATATTTTTGTCTAATCCATAATATTTCATTTTAGCCAATAGCATCTCATGGTTCATTGAATCAAAGGCCTTTGAATAGAGAATAGGCCAGTATAATGCCATGACTCTCTAGGCC